ATAAAAATAATGAATTATTTTAAAGTCATTCATTTATTATTTCAGTGAAATAGACCCTAAAACAATTACCGTTGCTGCAATTACTCAAATACTTCTATACAATTCTTTTTTATTTCAATTCAGTTTATATAGCACCAAGTCACAACACAAGTCATCTCAGGGCACTGAACAGAAACATTCATATATAAAAATAAGTTAACACTATTTATCTAAGGAGCAGACTGCTTTGCCTTTAACTCCATCATAGAACTCTCATCTTGAGCAAGCGTAAAGGCGACAGTGGAAAGGAAAAACTCGCTCATGAGGAAGAAACCTCCAGCAGAACCAGTCTCAGGACAAGCAGCCATCTGCTTTGACCGGCTGGGTTTGAGAGGAACAGATACACAATGGCAGATCGATAACACATTCTAATATATGAAAACTATTCAATTTTAGCAATTCATTTAAAGAGATAAGGTCAATTTGTCCTCTTGCAGTCTAAGTGTAGCAACCTTAATTACTGGTATAGGATTTATCAAAAAGGAAAGTCTTAAGCCCAGTCTTAAAACTGGACAATGTATCAGCCCTATGGACAGAAAATGGAAGTTGGTTCAGAAGAGAAGCCAAAATATGTCTTTTTCATATGGATTATGTCTGAAACATGTATCCAATGTCCAAAAGCAACAATATCTGACACAAATTATGGTTGGTAGTCAGGACGTTTTCCAAGTAAATTGTTAGTAACAGTTGTTGCTCATAATTGCTGCTGAAATCAAGCAAATCCAACTGTTCTTTGGTAGTTGTTGCTATTGTTGTTTTCTAATGAAACTTAAAAGCTGGAAAAAATAAAGGCCCCATGTTGGACGCACTTAAAAAGCACAGTTCAAACATCTGTGAGTCTTTATCAGCAAGCACTCGTGTGTGAACAGACTCAGCCAATGGTTTTATTGTGTTCATGAAAGATAATTTTTACCATTTATTCAATTCTTTATGGTTCTTCTTTTCTTGGGGAAAAAAAAAAGGAGTTTGGGGGGGGGGGGGGGGGGGCAACTGGCCACATACGCCCTGGTTAGCCACAGGCTGCCAGAGGAGACAGAATGCAATTATGCAAAACAGTGAGAGTCCAGTTGCTTTAAAAGAAAGGGGACAAAAGGAAAAGTTGGTAAAATTAAAATAATAATAAAATAATGCATGAATGGGCCATGCTTCTGTTGGAGTTTTGGATATGAAGAAATGCTTGTTTTATTTTGTACCCTGGCAATCCATCATTTAGTGGATCAGTCTTTAAATTGACTTTCCAATTGGAAGTTCATTTTGTTTTTTGCTTCCCTTATAAATTATTGTTTGCATTAATGTGATCAGATCAACCATCTGCCAATTCTTCCTTTATCTTTGCTTGTATCCAGCAGTCACTGTGAAAGAGGCAGGATTAACCCTGGACAGGTCTCCAGTCCATCACAGGAACAAACAACCATTCACTCTCTCACTCACACCTAGGGACAATTTAGCATTACCAATCAGCTTAACATGCATGTTTTTGGCCTGTGGAAGAAAACCCATGCATGCACAGAGAGAACATGCAAGCTCCACACAGAAAGGTCCCCGGTCAGGATTTGATCCGGTGACCTTGCTGAGATGCAACATCTTACCAACTGAGCCACCATGCCACCCGTGATAAAATCAATTCAATTTAAATTTTAGTATGATAAAAAAAAAAAGGTTAGGACTCAAAGACAATATGAATAAATGGTAGAAAAGTTTGAATTGATATTTTCTTTTTGTTTTTCTACTTTTGTTACCGCTTGCAACAGACGTCTTTCTAGTTGTTCCTGTGTACCTTTTCACTTTTACAACCAAAAGCTTGTATATATATATTTTTTTTTTTTTTGGGGGGGGGGGATGGGTTGCTTAGAAACCAGATAGACTCCCTATGTGTTTTTCACAGCTTTTTCTTTAGAATAGCAGCTAGAATGTGTTTCAACTTGAGAACATAGAAACGACCACCTGGTGAGAAACCTCCTCCAAAGATGTTGTTACAAACTAAACAATCCCAGTCTACTCAGTGACGTTTCCCTCCTTCCTGCTCTTCATAAGGAAATACATATTGTCCAATATTTAAATGTATTTGATGTTGGCTGTTATGTTTGATGATTGTGAAACCTATATACTGTTAGAAGCTTTGGGACTGTCACAAAACATTATACAAGCATGCATACACCTATATATACAGGTATATACTGATATCTACACATACTGTCACATACTGTTTATGAAAGAGTGCTTGTGATTTAACAAAAGGGGGCTTAGAAAATATTTTAAATTCAGGGGAGGAAGCCAATCTGACAAGCCGCTGGCAGGGGTTTTGGAACCGTCCACCTGGAGTAGAACTTCATACAGGTCTTACTTTGTGGTCTCAGCTTCTGAGCACATTCCAACCCACCTGCCACCACACTGGCATTTGCTGTTCCAAGCACACATCAAATAAATCCAAATCAGATCCTTGCATAAAGCGTGAGCAAAAACTGCACCACCTGCACTCTGCAGGCAGATATTTTCATTTGGTTCATGAGCTGTCTGCCAAGAACAGAGCCCTCTCAGTGATGAGGATGATCTGAGCTGTAAAAGAAATGAAAATAAAGGTAAGGGGGACAAAAAAAATTGGGGGGCTTTATTGATTGTTGTATCTTAAGGTTTTGTTTTCTTTTAAAATACATTTGCACAGACCCAAAGGTATAAAATAGTCTTCCTTCTATTAGGCGACAAACCAGTGAAAGCATGACTAATCTTTATAATTAACCAGAATCGATTGTCTCATTTGTGGATGAGCGGAAACATGTTATTTGACCAATGTTCCGCAGTTGTAGTCTTGTACAACAATGTGTTCACTTGCAGATGTGATGGAGAAGGTTCCAGCATATTACAAAGTATCCAGGCCAGCTGCTGGCATATTGATGCTTCCTGGCTAAACGTTAACAAGCAATGGTGCCATGTTTGTCAGTGAGACGCGGGCTGCAATCTGTCTGCTGAGCCAGCCAGAAGCCCTAATGATATCATCAAGAAGTGCCGTCAACAGCACTCTAACAAGGAATGATCTGACGCCTGGTGTTTCACCTCCCTTCTTTGTCCCTTGCTCCCTTTTATCTGTGTTGCAGCTGAACACCGAGGTTGTCTTTTATTATGCACACATGTGATAATATCTAAAGTGAGATAAGAAATGTATTTGAAAAACAGACGCCTTAATGTGTCCACATAATAAAACAATACGCGAGAGCAAATGGATGTGCAGGTGAGCTTTAATTAATAGAGTGCATTCATTCTTAATGCACTTGACTCCCATTAGAGTCTGTAGGATGATGTGAGATTCTGGCTGTTTAATAATCTTGCGGAAAAAAAAAAAAAGTACTGTGTTGTGGTGTTAAAGCTTAATAATCCAAATAAAAATGTATTCAACACTCTCAGCTAAAAACACAAGGAACTAAGCAGAATGTTTTAAACAATGTGATTGTTTTAAACAGGGTTTAGGTTTGATTTATTTGTCATATGGAAATCATCAAGAATGCAATGAAATGCTGAGGACAACAAGAACCGTCTCGACTCGCCAATAAAACAAGAAGAAATACCGAGCATGCAACAAAAAATACAAGAACAAGGTGCCAAAAGTTAAAACGAAATACATCTACATGGTCCTAGCAGAGTGGTTCTGTTGGCAGTGCGGTTCTCTTAGCAACATGGTCCCGTTAGCAGCATGGTACTGTTAGCAGTGCGGTTCCGTTAGCGGTGTGGTCTTCTTAGCCGGTCCCGTTAGTAGCATGATGATAATACCAACCGCAGCAACTACCCTCCCAGGCTGCCCTCCAGAACCGGGTCCGGCAGACAAAGAATATCCAAGGTTTCTCAGTGGAACTGAACGAGAAGTAAAGTTTGTTCCGTGCAGGCAGATGTCATACCCATAGCCTGGGTGTGCAGTGTAGGTACAATAAAAGTTAAAACAAAAGCAACAGGAACAAAAAACGATAGCGTCAAAGGGTGATAGACCTAAACAAAGATAAACTCATGCTAACAGCCTGTTGTAAACTTTTTCTTTACCATTAAAAGATCGTCATCCTTGTATTACAGTATGTTTTATGAGCAGGATTGCTCTATCTGACTGACAGCTCTCAGAAACAGGTGGATGAGGGAAAAAGAGTCTGAATACTCTATAAGAACCAGATAAAAGAAACTCGTTATGTCATTAAAAGAAGCAACAATACTGAGAAATATTTTTTGAAAACCATTTCAAAACCAGAACCTAGCCTATGTCTAAATCTCATTGATCACTAAAACTAATCAATGCAGTTGATTTTAAACAGCAAAAGACATTATTGTTTGCATAAATGTGTGTTCAAATTAGATATGATTGTTTTCATGAGATGTTACGACACGGTTCCAGAAGAGTTACAGAGTGTGGCGATGCACCGTGCCAACGCTCATCTGGACATGAACTGCTCTTTATGTGTGTTTATATTTCTTCCCATGACCCTTCACCCCTTACGCACACACAGAATCTCCCAGTGGTGACTTTCAGGAAGATTATAATGTTCTAATTTCAAAGAGTTTACAAGATCATCTCAACACTCCCTCTCCATTACATTTCATCACACTCCTATTACTCTGTGGTTGCGTTTTGCAAAAAAGATCTCTATTCTTGGATGAGTTGCAAACACCAACATGGCTGCAAATATACTGTGACTGATTCAGTTCACATTTTGATTTATTTAACATCCTCTCTTTTTGTCAACGGGTGGTTGAGGCTTGAGTGGAATTTGGTTAGTCATGGCTGTCTGTGTAAGCATTGCTGGGGTAAATGGTTCTTTCTGAAGCGAGCATGAGCAATTTGAGAAACTTACCATTAAAAAGATTGTTTGACTACGATGCCCATTCGCTGCCAACTGACTAATTTTATTCCTCTCTGCCTTTTCTCTCTTTTTGTCACTGTTTTCCCCCTTCCATCTTGTCTTTGTTCAATTGTGTCGTTTACCCAGGTGCCTTGCAGATTGAGAACAGCGAGGAGACAGACCAAGGGAAGTACGAGTGCGTGGCGTCTAACGTGGAAGGCGTGCGCTACTCGTCCCCCGCTAACCTTTACGTGCGAGGTAGGGAGAAACCCGGTCCCAGAACAAGGCCAAAAATAAATAAATCAATGAATCAATGAATAAAACGTTCAGAATCTACTCATTTGGATTTAAGTAGCATTACTGTTCTGCCTAACAATTGGTTTCATTCAGTAGCCTTCTAGTCCAGCTGAGTTTTCACAATATGTGTTTCAAAATAATACCCAAGTAATATAAACAATTTGTCTGTTAAATAGTAATGCTATATATATATATATATATATATATATATATATATATAGTGTGTGTGTGTGTGTGTGCGTGCGTGTGTATGTTTTTATACAATGCAACTTCCCAATGTAAAATTATAATTGACCAACTGTTTTTCTCTGTTATGCTGTTATGCTCCATTTTGTCTTTCAATGCCCTCCCCTACTCACTTGGAAGGAAATGTGTAGTGCACCAAGCCGTATGTCTTTACGTTATCGATTGCAAAAGACTTTTAACCTTTAACTGTTTGCCACCTACATCAAAGTCGGAACCCCCACTAAAAAATATGAAGACCATTTCTGTGTGGGTTTTTTTTTTTTTTTTTTTTTTTTTTTACAGGTAGAGTGCAACGGTAAGTCTTGATTTTGATTGAGTAGCTAGGTAACATTTCCCACCAATCAAAATCTCTCCTCCTTTAGCTTTCACTATAAGGGGGAGGAAACCCAAAATAAATTGTGGTTTCTCACACACACACACACATACACCTACACACGCACACAGAATCTGTTGCATAGATTATAAACCGTACACTTTCTCTACTTCTGGCTCATGCTGCTTTGAGCATAAATCCATAGTGCTTCTCTGGCTCTGCATTGCCATATTATATTTAAAGGCTTTAACAGTCATTAGTTATTTTCACTGGCACGTTCCAGCAAAGTGAAGGTATAAAAAACAATCAGTTGAAAGGACCAGAGTGTTTCATAGGAAAAAGACAATAAAGACAAAACCTATCCTCAACCACTAATGCTAAACGACAATGAATCCCTGTTGCGGGAGCTTTAATAAATTGAAGCAGATGCATTTTCGGCATGTATTATTTATATTGCGCATATTAAATAAAGATGCCTTGGTATCTACTCAGTTTGTTCCCTCTGCTGTGTACCAAATAACGTTGTTCCCAATAAATAATTCACTACTCTGACATTATAAAATGGGTCAGGGAGCTGCTTTTTCATTATTATTGCTATCATTGCTCTCAGTGAAATAGAAGCACAGAGAAGAAAAATTCAACTGTGGAGAGCTGAAGGTAAAAAAAAAATGGTCCATCAAGCTTAGTGTCTTTTCTTGCCAACATTCATTCTGGAGGCTTGAGCTGTCTCTTTTGTGATTCAGTGAGAAGTATCAAAATGGTAGAAGTTAAATGATTTATTGGAATTTATGGTCAAGCCTCCACAAATCATTTAAAAACTGATGGAAGCTCTTTAACGATGCAGCGCTAGGACGTATAGCATTTATTTTGCTAAAATAAAATAAAAAAGGAAAATAGCCGGTATACCTTGACGTAATGTTTGACAGTTTGTTCAATTCACCATGAACACTTGCTTCAAGAATACACACGGTTCATACTCAAGTACCTTCACACTATGTAACACACTTGTTTTGCTGTGATGGTGTCAACCTTTGTTTGTTTTCAGTTGAACTTTTGTCGATTTATTCTGATACTTGATGTTGACTATGTTTTGTTCACAAAGCAAAATGCACTTGAGATTAGCAGCTGTGGTAAATCATCATTTATGAGGGTGGGGGGGGGGAGTTTTTGTACATTTGGCATACTGCAGTAAGGTGAATAGGACTATTACCCAAACAGAAGGCGTTTTGAAGTTGTTGCTCATTGGCACCCTAAAACATCGACTTTTAACAGTTTTGAACTGCAGCTGCTAATTTCCTCCCTAACTGTGTCTTTTTTTTAATTTTCAATCTCTCATTAGTTTTTCTTTATTTTTTTCTTGATTTGGTTTGTTTCTCTATTAAACGAAAATTTGGCCACTGCAAGAGCTTCTGCTTGTGGCCATAAGGAGCTTGTAAACATTTTGAATTATGAGTATGGTACGCTTGATTTGACTCCAGTGGCGCTTCAATATTTTTTTCTTTAACAGACAGCAGAGCAACCACTGGGGTGAATCTGATTGTTTTGGTTCAAAGTTTATTTCAAGGGAGAGGGCAGGCAAGTGTACTTTAAAGATGGGTGTCACTTGATAGCAGGGACAAGAGAAAGGGAAGAAGGGAAAAAAAGAAAAGGGAAATGTAGCTACAGCTAAACACCTTGAGGTGGCTTTTTTTACTCTCTCTGTGTTTCCCCTATTTTTCTCTTCTCCTCATGTCATTGTGTTCTGCATCAACCCCTTTACATCCCTCAGAGCTTCGAGAAGGTTGGTGTGTTTTTTTTCTTTTTTACTTTTTTAACCCACATTTAAAAAAAAAAAAAAAATCAACATGTTGAAAATAAATAGCTGTATTTGCCTTTTGCAGAGCTCAATTAAATACTAATTTGGATAAAAACTAAAGTACAGTTAATCTAAACTGCTAAATGATTATTATTATTTTTTTCTAAAGAATAAATGATGAAATCAAACCCGATTAGTTCGGGTCTTGTTAATTTACTTTTATGTTTGCATTGTGGGGCCTTTTCACGTTTTGCATCCTTTGGTATTGCTTCTGCACCTAAAAGCTTTCTTTGCACGCAGCACGTGATAAAATGGGACTGTTGCATGATGGGAGAATGTAACTGCGCTTGCATGCCTGTGCAAAATCCCTTTGGCCCCAACGGTCTTTTACTTTTTGCACTCCCTGTGTTTTGTTTTGTTCTTTCCTTATCCTTCTTTGATTTTCAAAGTATTTTCCTGACACACTCTTTTGTTGGCTTATCTTACTTTAAGTTGATTTTTGTGTTGTGCATACAGTATGTGTGTTTTTCCTTTGTTTCTGTTTTTCTCCTTTCTTTGTTGTTAAAATGTTTGTCTTGTTTGTACATTAGTTGGAACATTTCTGTTTCTTTTTCAATCTGATGCTGCTCTGCTTCTTGAGTCTTGGAGTTCAGATGCAAATGCCCAAGAAATAATAAGTGTTTATACAGCCAGTGTTCCTGTCATCTTGTTTGTCTTGATCCAATACTAAAGAAAATTAGACTTGATTGGGGTCCATGATGATTTTAGCCTGCCGTAATAATGTAATATGTATTGTCATCATTGTATGTTCCCATACAATGGTGAAATTGGCTCTCTGCATTTAACCCATCCACCACCAAGTGGAGCAGTGGGCAGCTATTGAAGGCACCTGGGGAGCAACTAGGGATTGGGTGTCCTGCTCAGGGGGACCACGAGGTGTGCAATTACTTGGGATTGAGCCCGGGACCTTCGGGTCCTGAGTTGGCTGCCCTGCCTCTACACCATCTCGGCCCCCTTAAGCAACACCATTCACCAGGCTGTACAGATCATACCAACATAATAACTTCAGTATCACATTAGCTGTTTCTAATGAGCGCTAAACTTTAGAGCTTTTTAGTTTCACAGCAGCAACTAAATGCAACTGGATTTGTTAAATGATGGATGGCTGTGTTTGGTCAAAATAATGTCACACAATCACACATCTTTATGGAACAGAACTAAAATTCAGGTTGATTTGACTCAAATGAAATAGAAAACCCACTATTGTAATGCTCATGCTGTTGACCTTGAACATGAAGAAATTGTTATAAATAAGTTAAAGAAAAATGCAAGTGGCTTAATTTTTACTATAGGTTTTTTTAATCTAATAAGATTTTTTTTTCTTCAGAAATGCATATTTAGCTTTAAATCTGTACTGATCTCCAAGAGATTAAACTAAAAGGAAGTGTCTGGTAGTCAAACCATAAAAGGTCAATGCATTTCCATGCTTCGATTATGCATCCATGGAAGTGTTAACTTTGTCCAGCAAAACTTTCTACAGCATTTAGCCTCTGGAAATTAACATTTTTCACCCAGCTTTCAAAACTAGACATACTGAACTAAAATAAACTTTTGTAAATTGTTTGTATAATAATAAGTCCAATCCAAAGAGAGTATTTGTCATTTAACTAGGTAAGGTTTACAGTATTATAAACCACCTTTTGCCTCACACATTACCAAGACCAACCCTGTGAAAAAATATATTTAAAGCTAGCACTACTTCCTTAGCCCTAGACAGTCATATTTATTTGGATTGCCCAAGCCACATAATTTATTTTCAAAGCTAGTTATAAGGCAAACTTATAACTACACCCTATATAATTATGAGATTAACCACACACGCACAAGGATATCAGTGGTTCTTTGCACCAACAGGCTGTCATCACAAATTGATACTGCTGTCCTCAATTAAATACTCAGTACAAAGTTTTGATAAATTTCAAATAAATTGTCACATTCACAATTGGCATTACTGTTTGGATTTTAATTGCTGTAAATAACATTGATACAGAAAGACTGTGCTGCTATATTTGCATGTGCATGTTTACTCTTCTACTATGAAATTTGCCTGATTGTGAATGTGCTTGCATGTCCTGCTATGCATTTGTGTGTGATGTTGGGAAAGAAAGCTAGATTACACCTTATTTTCTCACTGGCCAAAGCAAATTCCTGTCATCTCTATTAGATGTTTGTCTTAAGGAGTCTGGAAAATAATAACTATACTTGAAAAGTGACTTTTCATCCAAAATGCATTAATGCATTATACAAAACATATGTTTTATTAGATTTTCTTCCAATGCAAGTGTAATGTCACTCAAAATATGCACTGAAAAAGACACCAAAATGGGAGGAGAATGTCCTTGCAGGATCATTTGGCTCCTTGTCATGTATGACAACAGAAAAACAAAAAGATAAGTAGTGAAATCTCCTCAATACACTGCTTGCTGCTATGAGGTACCCCTGCTATGACTCCTATCTGTTTCCTTAAAATAATAATTTCCATTTTTATGAACCACCCATAGTGACTGTTTAGCATTGCACAGCCAAGGTATGTTAATACTGGCCGAACCCTGTGGCTTAAATGTAAATGCCGCAGGACTCACCCAGCAAGTGTGACTAAAGGATCTCTATACTGTGCCTGTGTCCTCAGGCAGCAAGAGGGTGTAATCTCAGCTTCAAGGTGACACTAAAGGCTGCACATTATTTTGGCTTCCCCCTTCATTTTGGGGCAGCAAAATCTGCCTCACCAAAATAGCCAATAATGTCCACCTTCTGACCTCTTATTTTTTTAAAGCACAAATCCCTCTCCAACACTGCCCATTATTAGAGTTAGTTTAGTACTCTGGCATTCTCTCTCGACTGCTTCCCACCTTGTCCAATGTACGGCTTCTTGTCTTTCTCTCCACAATGGGGCTTGAAACAAGACTCTATACTGTTATGAGACCACATAAATTGTAAATGTTTGTTTTTCCCTCTCAAAACCAAATGGACCGGCTGGGCTCCTGGTCTCTGTGAATGAGGAGCGTGTCCATGCAATTGGGATTCTTTATTCTTTTACATTATATTTTCTGCTAGTCTCAGTGCATTTTAAAGGTATGACAGAAGAGGGTGTCATCTGCATATTTAGAAGTGCAACTGATTGTTTAACATCTTAACGTCCCTGTTTGACTGAACATTAGGTCATATCATTTAGTAAGGTGTTCATAGTATGGTGATTTACATGTGATAGCATGTAGATGCACAGTTGCCCTAACTTCCTTCTGAAGTTTAAGATTCCTAAATTTCTCTCCAGTATTAAATATAGTGATCTTCAGCATCAGCTGAGTTTTCGACATAAGGTTGCAATGTAGGTTTACTCTGGACTACTGTTTACAAAAAGACTCCCTATGTTTGATTGTTGACGTCATTGTTTTTTGCAAACTGCAGTTGGATTAATTGAATATTGTTTCTTGGTATCAAAAAGTATTTAAAACAAAGTATAGTTGTATTGATTTAGTTAGTTGTATACGTCAAACTGATTTGTTTCTGCTGTGGGGAAACCTCATTCACGTAACCACTTCAGCTCCCGGTCCATTGGCTGATCAGAGCCCCAGGGAGAGAAGATCACCCTCTGACAATCTTTGATTGAATGTTTCCCCAAAACAACAATTTTGTTTGTCCTACTGAGTTTTCATAATTGTTTTGGATTGGAAGATAAATTCAAGATACCACTAGAAGATAAAACAATAAAAAAACATCTAATAGTAGTGATGCAAACCTCTTTGTGAACACAGCTGCACTCTGGTACTGTCTTTGCTGTTCGGATGTAGTTTGTTTTTGTGAATTTGTTCAGTTTCATTTGTTTCTTTTTGTTTGGTTTTGTGGGTGTGTGTCTGGAGCAATGCTATATTTGGTAATAAATGGCATGCTTGGATGGGCCTGGGTGACATTTTAGGATTGGATTGGTTCTCTGGTGTTTGTCCTAGTGGATGAGGACACACCGTTACAAGTCACTCATGCCAAAGCCACAACCATGCATGTCTGTGTGAAGAATGGGCTGCCCTTTCACCTTTGTTGGTTAATTAGGTGTGTTTTTCCAAAATTGTAATGCAGCACATTTTAGTCCCATTATGATGGGAACTTTTAGCTTTTATTTTAATTTTCTTTTAGAATACATCTTTAAGTCATTATATGTGACTATCTATAAAAAAAAACAAAGTCTGTCTCAACTAAAAGGTTATTTATCAAAAGCTTCTAATCTGGATAGTCGATTTTTTAAGAATATTCTTTGGAATCACAATGGATTTTTTATGCATTTTTACAGTGCATTTTTGTGCCTTTTTTGTAATGAGCATTTCTTCAAAGGTCAGCTCTGAACTTTTTGCCCTCAAGGGCAGCTCTTGTTATACTCCAAGTAGCAAAGTAATTGACATTAACAGTGGATGCAATAGAGTATGCATACAGAGTAGTTCTGAAGATGGCAGATCAAAAACACCAGCTGTGGTCCTCATCTGAGCCTTACTAGCCCTTTAACTGAAACAGATCTGTTTTTGTCTTTTCTCTTCACATATGTAGTGGAATTCACTTTTTATTACTTAGTATGAATTGGCTTTCAAAGCAAATAACACTAGATGTCTTCTAACTCTTAAAATCTCCATGTAATCTCAGGATATTTTTACCAAAAAGCTTCCCCCATTGATCAGATGTTTGCATTTGCAGTAATTTATAATTAATTCAGTAGGTGTCAACCCTCAGCTAAAGGAAAAGAAACCTCAGAGTTTGTGTAGGTGATTTTTCTTTTTTAGTTTTATGGAAAAATTAACCATGCAACGATCATATGAATCCCATTTGGATTGACACGGTGTATTCTGGGATCCTAGTTTTTCTTGTGAGGTCCTTTTCAGTCTTTTCCCTGAACCCCGTCTCTGTTCCTTCGTACTCCCCCCATACAAACATGAAACATCCAGGACTAGGAGTTACCTTTGCACTGAGGTGTAATGTTTAAGGTGGGGAGGAAGGAACATGTACCTGATTCTTGATTTTAAGCCCCAGTGTGTGAGACCTCCAAACCAACTTTAAGCCATATTTTTTTGGTTTATTTTCTTTGTCTTTTTTATTTATTTACAACCGCAATTATTCTATTCTTCATATATATCCTTCTCCTTTCCCCTTTTTCCAACAACCCGAATCCCTCCTTCCTTGTTGCGTATTGTACAGTATGTGTGTGTGTCCATCTGTTTTCCTTTGTTGTCTGCTGTCTTGCTGCTCGAGTTTGCGTTATTCCTGCATTTTGTCTCGTCTGTCAGACCTTTACTTTCTTATTTTGTCTGTCTCTAAATTCATCTCTTCCATTTAGTCATCATATTTATACTTCTGTATCTCCACTTGTTTTATTTTAAATTCTGCATCCCAACAAACACTGGTGTAAAAAAAAAACAAGTAGCTACTGTGTAATGATTGTCTGTTATAGAGAACATTTTGTAGTTTTTTTTTTTGTCTTGTTTTGTTTACGTTTTGTGGTTCCACTTATTTTTTGCACACGATTCTTTTTGTTACTTTAGGACCATTTTTTTGTTCAAATATGGAAAACCTATAAAAAATTACACTTTTTATTAGTTCTCACTGTACCAAAAGAACATAAGGCTTGATTGAGTACCGTAAATTGTAATGTTCAACAAAGGTTGCAATAGGCCTACTCTAGAGAAACTTTTAAATTAACATAGCTCAAACATTTTAAACATATACAACAAGCCTGTAAAAATGTCATTTGCATAATGACTACTGTTCGGGTGTTTGCTGGGATGCTTTGCATAACCCATTGTTTTCTTTGTTAACTCATATTCTTTCACTCTATAGCTTTTGCATACTGTACACACGCACAATCATGTCTACACAAATGCAAAAGTGTACACTAGTATAAAAATATACGCATACAAATACACAGTACCTGTCACATCGTTCCTCTGCGTCTTGGTTTTTTTACCCGTCCTCTTCAATTTTCAGTCCTATCCATGACTTTAGAGGTCTTCACTGTCTCTATCTGATATTTGGCATTCAGCCCTTATTCATTTCAATCCCTTTTTCCTTCTATACCTCTTTCTTATTCTTTGAATTTCTAGTCACTGTTGATCCAGTTCTGTTTCTGTACTCCTACACTCTGTGACAGTTAGCTTTCTAGCTACAATTGCTATAATTTTTTTTCTGTGTATTTCTAGGCACACTCCTTGTTCCTCAGCACTTATTTTGTGTTACCCAGGACTGAGATGTGACAATGTGCCATCATCACATTGTGTCACATTAGCTGAAGAAAAACAAAGTTTACACAGCACTGAAACGGGTTATCCCCCTGCCCCATTTACCCTCCTCCAACCTTCCCACTCTTTTTTCTTCCTCTGTCACTTTTTGCTACACTGTACTCTTTCCTCTATCCTTTCCTCAGTTCCTCCTCTACCTTGTACTTCTGTTTTTCTCTCCAGTCGTCTTTTGTCTGGGCATGCTAGCGACCCTTCAGTTATATTCCTCTATGCATTTTATCTCAAGTTTTATATCTGATTTTGTTATCATTTACTCCTTAATTTACCTCAATCTATTTATGCATGCTGTCTGTGAAACTGATAGCTGCATCTATCAATGGAACCGTGTCAGATCTTAATAAGGCTTTGTCCAGTGGATCTACCCTGAACCACAAAAATCTGATTAAAGTTTCTCATCTTTAAGATTGCAAGAAAGTAGAGACCTGTGTTAAGTGCAAAAGTATGCTAGAATATAGTTAGAGACCTCACAGAGATGGTCAATAGTTCAGTAACCTTACACTTCCTGTGCTGTGGGAGAAGCCTGCAATGGCCCACTTCCTGTTTGGCATGAGTTTCTGAGAGGACAGGAAGTTCCAGGTTGCCCTGTTGGGCTCATGTGATGGAAATATCACATGACCCTTACAACACGTTTAGATTTTGGGATCAGGTAATGCTATTGTTGTCTAGATGTCAGCAGTTCAGTCCCCAAAGATGAGAAACTCGTAATAGATTTTTGTGACTTTAATTGTGCTGTGATGGGTCAAATATTGGTTGATGGAACCTTGTTGCTATGAATCGTTGCTTAACCGTAAATCTATATTGTTGTTGAAGCAATTCTGTTAGTTTAGTTCTTTTTTATTTCTTTTCGTATTTTTTATGTTCTTAAACATCTAGTTATTATTATTTTTTAGTTTTTGTTTGAAGTTTTCATTTACCATGTTAAATTTTTTGTGTTAGATATTACCTCGAGGAGGGTCCATTTTCATCTGCCTCTCTTGTTACCTGTCTCTTTTTTTTCCTCTTCATTTTGACACTTGCCCTCTTTTGTCATCCTCTCCCCTTCCTCATGCTTTCTCCCAGTTCGGCGGGTGCCTCCTCGCTTCTCCATTCCACCAACGAGTCAAGAAATAATGCCAGGTGGCAGTGTGAACATAACATGCGTGGCAGTGGGGTCACCCATGCCTTATGTCAAGTGGATGCTGAACGCCGAGGATCTGACACCAGAGGATGAGATGCCAGTTGGCAGAAACGTTCTTGAACTGAATAGCGTCCGTGAGTCAGCCAACTATACCTGTGTGGCTATGAGCAGCCTTGGCATCATTGAAGCTGTGGCACAGATCACTGTCAAATGTAAGAGATAACTGTATTTTTGATGTGGTTGTAGAGACTTTACCTTATCTTAATGACAGTCTGACCTGTATTTGTTTTTTTAAATACTTACTAAATATTTTGTTTTTGCAAAAAAAAAAAAAAGCTGCCATTAAAAATTAATAGTCTCTATTTTTTTTCTGTCATGTCCTCACCACAGCTCTCCCCAAGCCTCCAGGTACCCCTGTGGTTACTGAAACTACAGCAACCAGTGTGACTATTACCTGGGACTCAGGAAACCCAGACCCAGTAACAAATTACATCATACAGTATAGGGCCAAGTCTCCAGACAGCAAGTATGAGACTGTGGAAGATATCACCACTACACGTTACAGCATAGGTGGTCTCTATCCAAACACAGAATATGAAATCCGTGTGTCAGCCGTCAACACAATTGGACAGGGTCCTCCCAGTGAGCCAGTTGAAACCCGTACTGGTGAGCAAGCTCCTGCAAGTCCACCAAGAAACATTAGAGCTCAGATTCTTCCTCAGAACACAATGATGGTGCAGTGGGAAGAGCCTGAGGAGCCCAATGGGCAGATCAAGGGCTATCGAGTTTATTATACCATGGATGACTCGCAGCCTATGAGTCTCTGGCAGATCCATAATGTCCAGGACAGCATCATCACCACTATCCGGAGCCTAGTTCCTGAAGAAACGTACACAATCAAAGTTCTTGCGTTCACCTCTGTTGGCGATGGACCTTTCTCAGAACCCATTCATGTGAAAGTACTCCAAGGAGGTAAGGATAATTAGACTAATTGTAGATGAATAAGTGGTGTTGAAACCAGTTTAAATTAAAATGATAAAAGAGTAAGTATGGCACAACTTTCTTCCTTTGAATTTAATCAAATCCTTGATGTCTGATTGCATTGTTGTCACGATGTAGCCATCTCACTTGCAGATAATTAACTTAAGCGGTGTTGCACCAATTTCGAGTAATGTTCTCTGCTGCATTCTTTAGTTCCAGGTCAACCATCCAAATTCAAGGTTGGTGCTGTGTCAGACACCAGCATTGAATTGACTTGGGATCCTGCTTATGAGAAAGAAGGAATTTTACGTTACGAACTTCGCTATTCAGAAAGCAATTTTGGCACCCAGGTAAAATTTTGATCATGTTTTACGTATTTCTTGGCATTTTGCAAGCTCGTAATAATCCAACATCCCATTCATTCACTCCTATTTTAAGATAAATTTCCAATGTCTTCTAATTAACAGATGAAAAAGACATTCGGACCCACTAGATCATATGTTGTGGAAGGCCTTCGCCCCAACACAGAATATCGCTTCTCTCTGGCAGCTGTTTCTAACAAAGGCATCGGAGCGTTCACAAATGAAATTTCAGAGAAGACCTTGCAAGCCAGTATGTAGCCTTCTATTCAATCTTATCTCCTATTTTTACAGGTTTGCTAACAAAGGATATTCCCCAGTAATCAATGAAGTGACGGTTTTATGTTTTTATAGACTTTTTATACAAATGTTTTCTATGTTGTTTTATTTAGTTGTTTTGAATGAAACTTTGAAAATGTTTTGCCCATTGCTTCATCACCTTTAAGTGATAACTTTGTTTTCTTCTGACAGGGTTAGGGACTCAGAGCTATCCGAGACTGCTATAAACTGAAATGCTGTATGTGGTTGTCTGAATCTTCCATAAATACGGAGTTAAATGTTTTTAAGTTAACTAGTCCCTACATTTTTACAAACATATTTTATTTATATAGCATTGCACCAAAAAAAAAAAATCAACAAGGTATTTTATTTAGTCATGCGATTGAAAATAAGGAACTAAAGATACATTTTGACCACAAGAACATATTTTATTATTATTATTGTTTTATTATTTATTTATTTATTTTAAGGGTTATTTCCTTCACCCTTCCATTCCCACAGCAGGAATCAGGGACTAAACAGAGTTATGCGTAAAAAAAATTCTCTCATAAAATGGCCCTAATGGCCAAGTTTATGACATAACTGTGAGATTACGAGATACCTTCAGAATATGGTTTGTATTAAACTTCATACATTTTTCAAATATTAGTAGCAGGTTATCATGGTTTTTCCTCTGTCCTTAATATTTATAATAGCAAGTATTACTATTTTTTTAATCTATAAAACAATGTCAAAATGTTGTCATTCCTGCAGCTTGGGAGACATTGGTTGCACATGAGGCTGTGGCGGTCCAACATTTGTAAGATTAAATGAAAAGGAGAAACCTCATCCATGACAAAAAGTCTGAACTTAAAGCACTTCAGTCACTCTTGTATTGGACCTCTATGGAAATGCAAGAAATGCATGGCTGAAATTATGTTTGTTTCCCGAGAAAGCTTTAATGTTTTGGGTGTTTTAAGTTAAAATGCACTTTTTGACTTGTTTCCCCCAACCTGACCTTAATGACCTTATTTTCTAACTTAGCTCAAGTGCAAACATCTAAATGTGCTCTATTACTTTATACAAACCAAGTTTATGTGGACTAGTAATCTTGACCTTTTTTATTGGATGTTTTGTTATTGTATTATTATTATTATTATTTTATTTATTTTTTTACAGAATGTTCACATCCCACGTGACAGACACAAAAAATGTTCATCCTCCTTAAAGACTACCAAGGCTCTCATATCAACTGTTATTGTTTTGGGGCTGGGGATTTTCAATGTGTGCTTTGCCTTTACAGAAAATAAGACTAACAATAAAAATTACTTGCATGCTGCTTGTAACTACACTGAAGGACCCTGTGTACATAATTTCATTCCACCACATGTACCACATGTGGTGCGAATGACAATAAAGAATCTCTGACACTGAAGTCAGTTAACCCTGCACTATTTTATCTAGATCACAGGAAGCAAAATCACAACCAAATTATTTACTTCAGAAAAGTAAAGTGTAAAATTACTGACAACGGTACTGGTAGTTAAAACTGAGGTGACAGTAAATGCATCTTGTCATTCTAGATCATCATATCCAATCAGGTTGAGTGGCAAGTGCTGTATGGGATCATTAATCCAATGCCTGCAACAAACCAAGACAAAAGATTTAGAGAAGTACCCAGTTTTAGTACTGATTAATGCTAAAGACATTTTCGGACTGATTTATGACCCTCAGGACAAAATACTATTAGTGTGGTATAACAGAGTAAGGGCAGGCTTGGAATGCATAGAAAGGCTGATCAATGTACAACTTAAATAACAGACCATTAATGCTTTTGCATTTATACTGTTGATGTTCATTTTAACTCCTTATCAGCTAAAAAAGAAAACAAACAACCAATTAAAACAAAGGTACTCAAATTTACAAGAATATCCCTGGATATGATTATGTGATTGTGGATTTTGAGACTTGTAAAAATAAACAAATGTATTGTTAAAGTGGCTTCTTTAAATTGACATGAGAGCCATGGTGGTGGGAGCAAACGTTTAACACATTTTCTGTTTCTACCTGTGCAGCTTGTTGGCTACACCTTCACATGTGGATGTGGGTGGGAGCTTTACAAACAACCACCTCAGTTATTTTTGATATTGTTAGACAACAAAGCTACACAAAACTGCATCGTTTTACTGTTAACAGCCCCGGCTGCATGTGATGCTCCCTCCTGCCCTCTTGGGTTGCTGTTGTTCAATTATGGACCACTCCAAGCATGCAACTATACAATGTTTATCCATGCTCATTTCTACCAAGGCATATCTCAAGTGTTTGTGTACATCCTCACCTGTCAGTGTGTGTCTCTGTGAATGTCTTGTCTCTATTTTTGCATTTTTAAACTTCCAACAATTTGAACTGTGTACGTGCCCACTCACCTTGTTTCAGCTCTGCTTCTCGTTGCTACTAAACTACACTTCTTGGAATGGCTTAACACCTTGTTCACTTCTAGTTCTCTTCCTTTTATGTTGACTTTTGCAAAAGGTTTTAAGTTGGATTTTTTTTTTTTATGTAATACTTTTTATTTAGGATTTACCTTGAAGGTTTTTTTATTATTATTTTATATATTTTTTTATTTTGTAGTTTTTCTGTTGGGTTCTTGTTTGGATCCAAGTCCAGCCAAGAAAGAAGCACACATGCTTTAAAAAATGCTTTAAAAAAATGAAGTCAGTAAGACAAACTGCTCTTAGGAACTCTTTATTTTCAGTAGCTTTGTCTATACTCCTAGTACATAAATCGTGGACAATAATGTAAAACTCATATTTTCACTTCTGGCCTCATTAGCTTTTAAACAAAGAGGGGGTTTTTTTTGTTTTGTTTTTTTTGTATTTTTTTTTTTTGTATTGAAGAGTCCTTGCATAAATATATGTGATGCACAATAGCCGGTTTGTAAGCACAGAAGTCAAAATGCTCCAAGATTAAGTCAGACAAAAAACATTTATATTGTAGGGAATAAAAAGATCTTTTGGATGCTTCCAGGTAAGTGACCAAGTGAGCCAGTGATTCAGTCTGCCATAACTTTTCCAACAGAGTGGACACCTGCACAATTGAAAAAGAATCAGCCATCATCTCTAAAGACTTAGTTAAATATGAATATAAAGTACATCAGGATCAGAATCAGAATCTGAAATGGTGTACCAGTAGAATTAGACGAGAGAGAGTAATATGCTGCAGCCTAACAAAAGTCTATAAAGACTGGGCCATATTAAGTATATTTCAAAGAAATGTCACCACAAAAAATTCATAAAATTACTTATTGCCTTGTGTGCAAGCTCAACAATACATGCAAATACAAAACCATCTCAACTTTGGATCCACCGCTCTAGGCAGACTGAAGCGCTGTGCCACAAAGCAAAACAGGAGTTTTCAGATGTACATGTATCTTTTTCTATGCTACAAATGTTTACAGAACGTTGAAGTTTGTGCTCAGTTCAAATAGCATTACCAGAGGCTTGTCATGGGGACCAATCTTCAGTGAGTTTACTCAAAAACATAAATCCACTGGAATTATTTTGCATACGTAATTGCTTCAGTGTGATTGATCCCAAATTATTTCTTATTGAAATATTAAAGGAGGTAAAAAAAATTTAAAAAATCCACAAGATGTACATGGCAACAATTCCCCCCTCCCCCATTCAGAAGTCCTCATTGGGTATGCTACCAATCAGACAAGGATGAAATAATTGTTATCAGTTTGTTCAGACGTGGCTGAAGAGGGTGCACAGCTGGAGAGCTTGAAGGGGAATTACTCAAGCTGTTAAGTTTCAAGGATTGGTAGTACTTGAGATAGACCCTGGGAGTGGGTTTTAGGGGACCGCAGGGCCCCAGAGTGACTGACATGAATCCCATTTTATAGCATCAGAATTAATTTCATGCTCTGCAATGAGCTATGAGCCAAGGCCTCAAATTGTCTGGCATTGTTACACATTTAGATTATACCTAGAACCTGCCAGTAGCCAGTCAAGGGCTATTTCTGAAATTAAAATGTCTGATTCTAAATCCTCTGTATTTAACCAAACAAGCATTTTAGCCCCTCACTTACTCTAATTGCAGAGGGGGGTTTAGATGTATTGGAGTGTTTGTGTGTGCTCCACCATGACCATTTGGCATTTCAGAGATTAATTCCATACTGATCTACAAATATGAACTGTTGTTTGAAGCTCCTACAATGTACTAATACTATTGTAGTATATTTAGATTATGACCATTGAATATACTGTAGATCGCTGTGACTGTGTCAGGATTAATATCACCAGAAATATCACACCCAAACCAGCACCTTTATTCTTTAGCCATATTCGTTGGCTATGTCACTGATGTTTGTGAATTTTATATTTAAAAAGAGAAGTATGTGCAGAAAGACATGACATGACATGACAAATAGCACTTTTTGAAAAGTCTTTCAAAAAAGATTAGAACCTCAAGTAAAACATTTTTATTTTTTATTTTTTTTACTGTATTATTTGTTTTGTGATTGTATAGTTCTAGGATCCATAATCCTTATGACAAACTTCAAGGAATGTGCACTTGATTAAAAATGTGCCCCAGCTAGTTTTAAATTGTTATCAGGCATGGGGATGCATGTGCACAGAGATAGCCTCAACCTTGTCAGATTCAAAGCCTTTTCTTCCGCAAAGAACGAGAATTGAGCAATGGTTTTTGACATAAAGAGTTTACAAATACAATATGGGCAAAAGAAAGAAGCAGAAAGGCTCAAAATCCAGTAAGACTTTAAGTAAATAAGCCCATTAAAAACAGAAAGGAGTTTTTAAACCTTTTTTTTTTATTATTTTTGTTTGCATTTTTGTTTGTTTGTTGTGTGTGCACTTGAACATTTAGTTTATTCAATAGAGGAGGTCCTTTAGTCTTAAAACTCATATATTTCATTCTTGTTTTTCTAAACTGCCCTTTCCAAAGTGGCATTAAATTCAAAACAGTTCTATTAAACTTTTAGGTATACTGGTAAACAATGTATTCATGTTGCTGCTGGTTTGCTTGTTTCCTGGTGCTCTCAGAATGGAACAGGGCTCATAAAGTTGCATCAGTACAGGGCTATGGAATGGGATTTATTCATAGCAATTGTCAACAAGAAAAGACATTTGTGAGCTTCGCTAAGTTCACAAGCATAGCATGAATTTTCCCCAACAGCCCCCAGGTTTGTGGACCCTCAGGCCCAACAATCCAGTATTAAACAGACTCCTTGCAGTACAGAGCCAACTCTCTCCCTTCTGCTAACCCCCTAGGTGGTTCAAAAAAACTATCAGCTTATCAAAATGTGCAATTTTTACTGATACAATAACATAGAACAATCTAAAAATATATAATATGCCTTCAGGAAGGGAAAGTGTTGCTGCTCACTGACTCAGAGTAAAACACTCTGCAGTCAGGTGCTGGTGGTAAGAAAGTCTTTAAAGTTTTGTATTTATGGACTTCAGGTACGTATGATGCAGACAGTGCTTGTGATTTCTGTTTTTTTATTATGCGTAAAATATTCTATTGGTGTTTTTTTTTATTTTTATGGTTTATTATGAGTTGACATTTTGAACATTGTGTGTTGTTTTGTTTTTTGAGTCACTTGGATTTCCGACAAATAATTTTTCCAGTAACCTTCAGTTCACCATTTATTTCTGCTGCTTTTGTTTTGGAATGATAACATTTTCCTTATTTTTATTGTTGTCTTTTGACTTATTTTCTTAACCATTCATGAGTGGAATGTCATTTTAATTTCTGACTGAATGTAACTTTTTTTTGTTATTGTGTCATGTTTACCTGCTTAGAAGAAAAACATGTAATAGTGAATAGCTTGCAAGATGGGAATATAAAAAAGAAGTTTTTACAAAACTTGTATCTTGCATAGAGTAAAGAAACTCAACTTAAAAATTTAATTTTCATTTATGTCCACTTGTTCTAATAATGAGAAAGAATGCTCATGAGTTGGATTTTAAATGCTTTTAAACACTTTATACACAAAAAGTATATATTATTTATGCACAATCAAGCATAGTAACCACCGGTACTAGTATATTTTATAGCCCAAATTTTATTAAAAGCACTTTGAGAATGTCTTCACATATCACACAAGGTAGCCATCTTGATTCATTGTTACATGTCTGTGCTGTTGTCCATTTTTACCTCCTAAGTTTACATTTGCTTGATGCGTTGTTTTACACTTTTTATTTATTTATATTTTTGGTTGACAATTTAATTTGACCTGTTGCTTTTATTTGAGTTTCAAATTTTCTTTTTTTTTTTTTTAATTCTCCCATCTTTTTTATTTTTTTGTTTTTCATCCCTCTCCCTTTCCCATCCTCCTCATCCTCTACCCCTCTTCCTTCCTCTCCACCTCACCAGAGCCCTCATCTCCCCCTCAAGAAGTTAAGTGCAGCAGCTCCAGCTCCACCTGCCTTTTGGTAAGTTGGCAACCCCCACCTCTGAAGAGTCAGAACGGTGACCTGACAGGGTACAGGGTGCACTACCAGGCAGTGGGCTCGTCAGAAGGGACCGGTGATGACACAGAGCCCATGGAGGAACTAATGGTCTCTTCAGCTGAAGAGCAGGTGCCGCTGGAACGTCTAAAGAAATGGACTCAGTACCGCATCACTGTGTCTGCCTCAACTGCGGTTGGGCTGGGCCCAGAGAGTGAACCCTTGATCTGTCGAACAGATGAAGATGGTACGTCAATTTGTTATGTAGAGACCTGAATTTATTGAGTGAAAAATGTGTCTTTGTTAGATGTTTAAATACACCATCTACATCTGTATTTTATTGAATATACTATACACCAGGTCATGGAAAAAAAGAGATTCCTAAAACAATCAGGTGTAGATGTCATCAGATTTATTACAAAGCTTTGGATAACAGCCAGCAATCACACAAGATCAATGCATTTACTAGTACACACTTATCAATGCTTTCACCTGTCTGAGTTTCTGACCTGTTCTGCCTTCCTGAACTGAAAAAGTTAGTTTTGTAGAAAACATCCAGCCAGACTTCCAGTCCCTCCCCGCCTTGTCGAGCTGTTATCAGAACCCATCTTCAGACAGAAGCGATGAGGTATCTGGGAAACCAGACAGCTCCCAAGGACTCTGGAACCACATCACTGTAATAATATCAATAAAACCTTGAAGATAATAAGAATTATCTCTTGCTGTCCCTTTACTGACCGGTCGCATGAAGACTGATTATTACATTGAGTAAGGATCACGGAACATTTTAATATAATTCATAATAACAGTAAAAAAGCAGTGCATAAATACATTAATCAAGTAAAATTATGGAGCATGGTGAGTGTAAAAAATACACATTCATGTGACACACCTTACTAGTAAAGCAATAAGATAGTAGACATATTTGCACTGTAGTATGAAATACCTTTAGGCATCTGTCTTTTCACTAACGCTAATTACATAGTTAATCAGTCAATAAATTAAATAAAAGTCCAGTAAATAGACAACCCCAGAAGGCTCAACTTTGTCAAGTAAATATCCACTCTAGGAAAACATGACTTCTGAATCCACAAACAGCAAATAAATAACTATGTAATATAAAATGAGCTGTTTGTGAAAGCCTGTCTATGTCACTTTTGTGTGTTTAGCATCAAACCTCTTTCGCTAATAGCTGACCTGACACAATAGGGTTCTTTTAAAAAAGACATGGCCTTGCACAAAATAAGAAAAATGCATGATGTTTTCATCCCTAACTTGACAACAGTTGGGTTTCCTTTAATCTAAAAATCAAACAAACAATATCAGCCGCATGGTTAAAACAGGATGCGTGATACCAAAATGTATAGAAAAGAAACTGGACACTACGGAGGGAAAGAGTGACGTAGATCAACTTGCAAGGCAGAGGGATAAGGCTGGAAAGGATGTACATTTAGGTTTGTCAAATAAATAAATGGTTATGCTTTAACAAACAACGAGAGTCTGATAGGAAAAGGGAAGTAGTATTTTGAGGAGGTAATAAATGAAGAGCTCCTCTAAGCTCCTCAAATACACCCAAGTGAAGCAGTAGGCAGCTATGTAAGCATCTGGGGAACAGGTAGAGAATAGGTGTCTTGCTCAAGGACACCATGACATATGGGCATGGTGAAAAATCTAAAATGCAATTTTCCTATACCGAGTAATCTGGTCTACCACTGAACCACAGCTGCCCACTAGAGATGTGCTGTAGAAGTGAAAGATAGCTTAAAGGTGAATGTGGAACTGCATCAAGGATCTGCTCTGAGACCCTTTGTGTTGACTCTGGGGATGGACAGACTAACATTTGTGGTCAGGCAGGAGTCCCATGTGGATTATGATGTTTGCAGAGGACATTGTGATCTGTGGTGGGAACAGGGAACAGGTGGAAGAGAATTTAAAGAGGTGAAGGTATACACTTGAGGAAAGAGGAATGAAAATCAGCTGTGGCAGCACAGTAGTGCAGTTGGTAGAGCTGCTGCCTCTCAGCGAGCAGGTCGCCCAGGTTCAAATCCCAGCTGGGGGCCTTACTGGGTGGAGTTTGCATGTTCTCGCTGTGCATGCGTGGGTTTTACGTAGGTACTCTGGTTTCCTCCCACAGACTAAAAACATGCATGTTAGGCTATCTGGTAACTCTAAATTGTCCCTAGATGTGAGTGAGAAAGTGAATGGTTTGTCTCATTTGTCTATGTGGTCCTGTGCTGGACTTGTGACCTGTCAAGTGCGTACCTGCCTCTCACACAATGATGGCTGGACATGGGCACCAGTGACCCCCATGACCCCTGCGACCTGAAAAGGAATAAGTGGGTAAATATAATGTATGTATGTACGTACGTACGTACGTATGTATGTATGTATGTAGCAAGGCTGTAGCAAAGTAGAGTACATGTGTGGGAATGGAAGGGAGGCAGGTGGAACAATGAGACTTCAAGGAGCAGAGATCACAAAAGTGCACATCTTCAAATGATTTGTGATAAAAGAGTGGCAGCAAAGGTTGGGACAGTGACACTGGCAAAATACAGGAGACAGAACTGGAAGTGGCATAGCTGAAGTTGTTAAGTATCCTGATGCATGCTCAAGTTGAAGTTGTTAAGGTTCTTTTTAGGACTGACAAGGATGGACGCGATTAGGAACTAGATCAACAGAGGTACAACACAGGATGAAGGACAGGGAGAAAGTTAGAGAGGCCAGATTGAGGTGGTTTGGACATGTCCAGAGCAGGGACAGTGGGTATATTCATAGAAGGATGTTAGAAATGCAGCTGTCAGGAAAAAGACGAAGAGGAAGGCCAAAGAGGAGATATGTGGATCCAGTTAGAGAGGACATGGAGGTAGTTGGAGTGAGATCAAAGGAAATGAAAGACGAATGAGATGAAGGATGACATGCTGTGGCGACCCCTAAAGTGGGAACAGCCGAAAGATGATTTTACAAAATTGTTAACCTTAAATTAGACACATTAAAAAAAAGAAAAAAAAAAAGAAGAAGAATAGAAGACTTACAAAAATGCAATCTAGACATAAGTAAAGCTCTATATAAAATAAACACAAATAATGGAACCATTCAAAATACTGTAGCGAACACATTTGGGAAATCAAGCATGTTGCTTTTTAAACCTTACTAACTAAATGCCATTTTTTATAGTTATCACAACAGATATCAAACTTCTGTCTGAAGTCTCAGTAGATTTCATTGCCCAGCTGAGAACCTTGAGCAAAATAGTCGAGTCCCAGTTGAAGTGCTTCCTGGAGGATCACGCCATCTTAGAGCTTTTCCAATCTGGCTTTAAACCTCTCCACAGCACTGAAACTGCCCTGCTGAAGGTCTTTAACAACATCTTCAGATCACAGATACCGGTGAGTCTGTGCTGCTTGTCCTGTTGGACCTCACAGCCGCCTTTGACACCATCGACCATGAGATCCTCATTGCTAGGTTGGAGCAGTGGGTGGGCGTCACAGGATCAGCCCTCAATTGGTTCAGATCTTACCTCGCTGACAGATCCTTTTGTGTCTCCATCAAGGATTTTAATTCCGCAGAGGCAGAGCTTAAATGGGGGGTTCCGCAGGGGTCCATCCTGGGTCCCCTCCTATTCTCTTTATACCTGTTGCCGCTTGGTGCAATTTTCCGGAAACACAACATGACCTTCCACTTTTATGCTGATGACTGTCAAATTTACTTCCCCCTAAGACACAATGGTACATGCTCTATTCAACCGCTGCTCAACTGCCTGGCTGACATCAGGGACTGGACGGCTTTAAATTTCTTGAGCTTCAATGAAAAGAAGTCTGAAGTCATGTTGTTCCCTCCCAACGACACAATCACAAACCACTGTATCAACCTCTCCGCTCTAACCCTGTCAGAAAAACAGAGTCACTAATCTGAGCGTGATAATGGACCCTTCCCCGAAGCTTAACAATCATGTAAACATGATTGTTAAATCATGCTTCTTCCAACTAAGGCGGCTGTCTAAACTGAAGCCCATATTGTCCAAAAATAACCTGGAGACAGTAATGCATGCATTCATTACATCTAGGCTTGATTACTGCAATTCACTCCTGTTTGGTATCAGTCAGACCTCCATTGCACGACTACAACTGGTCCAGAATGCAGCAGCCCGGTTGTTAACCAGTACAGGCAAAAGAGAGCACATTACACCAGTTTTGGCCTCACTGCGCTGGTTACCAGTTCACCTTAGAATCCAGTTCAAAATACTCATGTATGTCTACAAATCACTGAACAGTTTCTCTCCCCCCC